CACATCCTGTTCACATGCTGTAGGACTATGCCCTGACTGTGCTGTGGTCACCTGTGGCCCCAGTTTGTCCTCCCTCATGGAGAAACTCTGCTCTTGCTGCTCCCTGACTTTACCTAAGAGCATTAAAGGAAGACCCAGAAGGTACCACCTAGTATCATCACCATTTCACATCTTTACCTCCTAGTATAAATGAAATCACTCTCTAAATTCCATTCCAGATCTTACTTATTGCAATAAACATTTGTGAAAAATGAGTTTATATATTCTTCTCTCCCTTCAACATATTTGACCAGTTGTTTGCATCTGAATTATTTTCTCCAGCTTCTCTGAAGAATTTGGTTGGTGTTTGCTTTTGCCACACCTTTCCTTTCTGTATTCACTGCCATGATGTTTTCTTAGCATACAGTAAACAGGGTGCAGAACCAAAGGCTTCAGTGCTGGTTTTACAGTTGCTCCATCAGCCATTCCTCTGCCTCTACATACAAAAGGCCAAGAATCTCATTAGAGAGTAGGAATTCCTAGTTAGTTCAGCTGATGAAAAATTTCCAGCTAGTGAAACAACCCCAATGTATGCAATCTCTTTGGAAACAGCCTTGGAACTATTGTTTTTACTAAGAAATGCCTCTGTCCCAGAAAGACAGGAAACTAGTGAAAATTAGAAGAAAATTAAGAGAGTTATAATTGATGCTTACTCTTTTTTTGTATGCTTCCTTTCATAGACCCTCACAAATCTAGGCTAGATATCTGACTTCTTATTGTCCTTTCAAAGCTACTCTCTTTTGTCAGTAATCCTTCTGAGTATAGTGATTTTTTCAACAGTTTTGAGCTAACTCAGATGGTCAAGCTGTGGCCATGCGTAGCTAATTATAGTGGAAGGAGAAAAACGAGTACATTGATTAACATTCTGTTCCCTTTGGAGAGACTAGGAAATTACTTTGGCAGCTCCAGATTCACTGACACCCTGCTGGCAGTTTATTGCCCGTGTTTTCTGAATTGCAATCATTTTTTGAAAAATGTGGCTGATCCTTGACTGTTGACTGGAAGGGGGAGAACAGAGTTCTGGGAGTTTGATGTTTGATGCTGTTTTAAAAAGCTTTTCTTCATTGGGCTCCTTGTGGCTTTTCTCCATAGCAGACTTGAGCGTTGCAGGCTTAATTACTCGCTCTGTTTCCATTTGTGCACAGCAGCCTCTGCACAGGGCTCTGAGCTCCTGAGGATTCCAGAAGAATTTCATCGGACAAAACAACAGTCACTGAGATGCAACTCTATACAACAGGCCCTGCTGAATGTGCCTGGGCTGACTGCTCTACTCCTCCACAACATTACAATTAAGAGCGCTCTTGAATAAGTACACAGAAACCAGGAGATCTTTTGTTGGCTTATATCGAGATCTTAAACATATACTTTTTATTTAGGTTCTGCCTTGCCTTTATCAGACCCAGCTGTTTTCTTCCTGCTGTGACAATTAATTGGATTATTTTCATTTAAAGATCCAAGCCCACAAGATAACTGGAATGGAATTGTTTTCCTTTCTCTGCTCTCCCTCATTAGTAGTCTAAACAAGTGTGAAGCTGCATTAAGTTTGTAACTATTTTGTTAGCTTGGAATCACATTTTTCTCTTCTGCAGATTCTTAGATTTTTATATTCCAGCATATGGTTGCAGTATATTAAAAGTGAAAAGGTTAGTTATATAATTTATGTTTTCAATTACCCTGGTAGTGAAAAAGAAGGACAACAAAAGTAACTCTCACAAAGAAGAGCAGCAAAAAAGGAGGGAAATTATGGCATGTTTACATATATTTTACTACGAAAGTACCATAAAAAGGCTACCTAATCAAATATCTGTGCTGAGAGGCTAAATTGGGAAGATTGTACTACCACTGCAAGCTCTGCCTGCAGCACAGGTGAGACTTCAAAATGTCATCCCATTTATTATGTATGTCTTCACAAGGTGATTGTCTCCATTTCTTATGGACTTGGCCTACAAATGCAATGGTTGATCACTTCGTCTCTTTAATAAACTTTGAAAACTATTACTGAAATGCTCAAACTATTGCTGAAATGCTCACAGTAGCTAGCACTTCATTTGGAAACCTTCAGAGGGTTGCTTTTGAGATGAATGGGAAAAGCATACTTTCATCTCCGTCTTCTTTATTGACGTTAAAACTTAAGAAGGCAAGTGATCTTGCTGACATAGGCCAGAAGACTCAACATCTTCAAGAGCCAGATTTAATGACACTGATTCTGCATCTATGTGTTTGTACGTACAACAGACAAAGGCACAAAGACCCCGTAAGTTTTATGTCAATCAAGAACTGCTTCTTGATAGTTTATGAAGACTTCACCAGCAGCTCAATTCATCTTTCACTAGAAAAAGAGTCAATTTTCTGGATATTTATAGGGATTGTATGAGAGATACAAGGAAATTGATTCTTATATCCCCATTTCAAATTAGAATGACACTTTAATTTTGATTTTTTTTGTCTATAAACTCCTGTGCCACATGTATTAAATAATACATGTAACTAAGCAAACTTGCAAAGAAGCTAGCTCATTTAAGAACTGATCTTGGTCGAGAACTATTATTTTCACATCCCTGTGGATTTTCACTGCATTTAATCGATGCGTGAGAAATACCCAGACCTCAGGAGTTGACAGTTCTCCTCCTGCAAAGAGTTCTCTTTCTCCTTGCTCTGCGTAGAAGAGCCAAAGTTTTCTGCTTACTGCCAAGGTTGGGGAAGTGCCCATCACAAGGACAGACTTCACACACACTGGAAACAAAGGGGAAGCTGAGCCAACCTGTTAGTGGGTTGGGGAAATCCAGTAGGAATGTGCAGGGGCAGTCAGGTACTACTGAGGGGTCTTAGGGAACAGGGAGGGCTCTAAGGAACAATGCTGAGAAACAACGAGGAAAGGACTGAAAATGTAAACAGAGCAGAGGTTACATCTTTGTGTGCATGTTTAGGATGGAGTTTTCAGACTTTGAGTTGTAGAGGGTAGCCAGGGAACAAGCAGGGGAAATTAAATAACCAAAGGATTTGACTAAACCCCAGGATTTCACCACCATCATCTTCCTCTTCTTTTCTGGACTCACAGTTTTGTAAAAGTTTAGGAGAGGAGAACTGATATAAGATTTCTGAGCACTTAAGTGCTGCGTTAGTCTTGAATTAGCTTAGCTTTGGGTGGGAAGTACCTCCAAAATTCTCTCTAGAGATCCCTTTACACTGTCTTTACTTCTTCCATAACGGAACTAGCAGGTCTGCTCTCGAAACTCCTTGATCCTTGGAACTGTGCTTTTCCCAGGCTATCTGTGACCCTTGATCTAGTCTCTTCCCTCACCAAATCCTTCTCCCTTCAGAGCAGGTCCTCTGAGGTATCTACATATGGACCATGCATCGTAGCAACAGAGTGCCTGAACACAATCGCAAGCTTATGTTCTAAGCTTACACCAGCCACTTCTGGACAAATCTTTCATGGTCCTAGAAATGTTTCTTCATAAACCCAGTGATGTTTTAACCTGCTTCTTTGTAACCAAGTCCTATCCTGTGACCTGAAGTGTGGTGTTTCAAGTTACAGTAGAAGAAATATGACGGGTCCAATTCTAGCTGGGTTAGTCTTCCTGCCTCTCATGTCTGTTTTGTTGTCCTCGGTTCACCTGTGAAAGCTGTGATGCTGGCCACCCCTTCCAAGCAAGAATGTCCTCTGCCTAGGCTTTTCCAGAGGCTGATGTTCAATGGGATAGCTCCTCTGCATACAGAGGCTTCAGTATCAGGCCCTAAAATAGATGCATGAGGGTTGAAAAACAGAGAACAGAATGTAACAGTAAGTTGCATCATTTCATTTACATCTTGTTCCAGTTTCTTTTTTTCTTAATTTATTTTAAGAGCTTATGTCAGACACAAAAGCTGAACTAGACAGCTATGCAGCAAAGACAAGCAGAAAGCAAACATTAAGTAAGAAGACAGACAGAGTGGTGAGCTTGCAATATACAGATGATCTCCCATGTATCAGGATAACGTGAAAATAACAATGGATATAGCAAAGTATCTGGAGAGAATCTTTGCTAAGAGGGAAAAAGCATATGAAACAGTATAAGGAAAGATCAAATGTATTAACTAAGAATAAAATGTCTGAACAATAGAGTATTTTTGTTAAATATATTGTTTTTTATCCCTGGGGTTGACTAGAAAGATTGTCAAATTCATTTTTCTTTAGAATTTTAAAGAAACGACGATGCTGCCTATGCTAACTGAAGAAGAATATTGAGTGTCCTTAATAATTAAAGCTAGTTATTATTGGTCAGTTTTTTTGCTAACTTTTTTGTTCCAGACTGTGGATACATTTTACCATTAGCTGTGCTGGCAGCACTGCACTGAAGAATTAAAACTTTTGTCCTTGAGCTCTTTTCTAAACAAGTACATAACTCTTGCTTGCTAATTATGAAGAGAGACCCTGACCAGCTGAGTTTGTCCATGAGAATGGACAGATAAGAGGCTTCTTGTACACAAGATGTGCATGGAAGTGAATGGGAGAGTGTGATCAAAACAGATCTGGGAAAGTCTCTTCTCCCTGTGTGATAAGAGAGTGATTGAAGGAGTCCCTGAGCTAATAACAACCCTGGCTGCATAGTCTGGTCTCTTGTTAGTAACCCATAAATAGTCCTTCTTGCTAATAAGCATAAATATATGTGTCTGCTTGCAATAAAGCGGATTCTGCTTTCCACCATCTTGGAGTCCGTGCGTGCTTCTCCACAAATGGCGGCCCAAATTGGGACATAAAAATCTCCAGAAGTAACCCCCAGTGAGCCGAACAGGATGGTGAATTAACTGACGCGTCCATCCTCGCCTTTCAACAGAGAAAAAGGTAGGAGGACTGCAGCCAGGGGTCAAAATTGGGCCAAAACATGACATGATCACAGTAACTTCATCATGATGTGCTGATGTGTATTGCAAAGGAGCAAGGGTATAAGATTAGCCCACAGAAAGTGACTCTGTTACTGTTATGGATCGGTTGTAATTGCCCCTGCTATCCCAAAACAGGACCCTATGAAATTAAGGACTGGAAACGTGTAGGTGAAATGCAGGGAGTTGAGGGACTCTGTGAAATTCTCCTCCAACGGGGAGATGTTCACGAACATCAACATTTTGGCCGACCCCTCCAGGGAGTTCTGCAGCAGGTACGTCAGCTTGCTGTTGCGATAGGGGACATGGGGCTCCTTGTTGGAGAGGGCTGTGATGATGAGCCCCAGGGTGGAGAGGCTGGCGTTGATGGCCTGAGTCTCATGCAGGCGCTTGCCCCGCGAGAGTGATTTGTCGAGGTGCTCGCTGCCCACCAGGTCCACCAGGCTCAGCACGGAGGCACAGCACAGGTCGCGGGCGGCGTTGGCGCCGTGGATGCACAGCTGGAAGATGCCGTGGCTGCGTGACAAGCGGTCGTTGAGTGCCGTGCGGGCCACTGCCCGGTTGGCCACTG